TGTTATGGAAATTGTCAACAGATTCAGATTCTCGGAAAAAAGTACCCATAGAACAGGAACCGTCAATTTCCGACTAAGGAAAATGAAAACGAAATTTGACATTTTTCGGTGATATCTCAGTTAGGGGTAACTTCGCCCTTATTTAACCTATACTGTATCTCTCACCGTTACGAAGATCCCAATGGTAGTCACGAATTTGAACCACCCTGTACGCACACGTCGAAGATATTCAGAAAGGCCTGTTATGTAACGGTGTAACGTAACGAATTGGTCACAATATGTAACATACATGTATCTATATGTTACATGAACGTAATAAGTAACACAACGGAATGTTACAACAACCCAGTTATGTATCGTATATACAAACATACATTACATTAGAGTAATATGTAATGCAACTGAAGGTGTAAGCAAATATGTAACATTACGTTGCATGGGGGTTGTATGTAACGCAACTGAAGGTTACAGTAAATATGGTACTTACATAACAAATATGTATATGTTAGTATACATGAGAGTCTTATGTAACGCAAACGAAGGCTACAGTACCTAATGTAAAAATAACTAAATGCAGCAGTGAAAAGATATATTCTTATAATAGACTGGTTCACTTTTCGAAGTTTTTCTGTCTTAGGAGCATTTCAGACAACATTTGGCCAACAAGGCTTTTTTTACTAATTGGTACCTGCTGAACACGAATATTCGATGTTGGCACCTCGAAATCTGAACCGGAAGTCCAGAATTCAAGATGGCGGCCAATTTCCGAAAATGTTTAGCTTTTCACTCATGCGACCGATTTTTTCGATCTAAAAACTAATTATAATGTTATTCCTGACGTACGTTACGATAATAATGGTTAACTATTGTTTTAACAATAATGTAATAGTTTTTTTAGCGGCAGGATGCGTAAAATTAAGAATTACGAAATTCCTAGCTCTGCTTGCCCAACGATTGTTTCTAGTAATCCTGACACGTATTAAGTATTCCCGACATGCGTTCATATTGCATAATTCTCCTTATAAAGTTTAGATAACTACAATCTTTCGAATTTTACGTTAATTTTTAAATGAAAAAAATGAAAGAGTTAAACTAAACTGCGGTGTTTCGGAAGATCCTTATTTTGCTAGGTATTAATTACCGTTACTCAGGATATATTATTATTCAAGTATGAAAGCATATAGAAAAGTGAAGACAAATTTATCTTATTTTCATGGTGTTACGTCAATCGTCTTCTTGAGAATTAGGTACCTAGTACAAATCAGTTGAGCCTTGCAACATTAACAAAGTTTTGACGAGCAGTCCTATTTACAACGACAAAGGACGATATCTAGAGCAGCCTTCGGAATTAATCTAACGTTGTGAGAATGGGAATGTAGCCATTTTCAATTCTTTCCCCAAGAAATCAAGGATAGATGTGCTAGTCTGAGCGACATTTTCAGAGTTTAAGGTCAAAGAAGTACCTCTTGAGATTTACACCTGATATGCCGTAATTAGGGAAATGGACGAAAAGCTAGAAAAGATTGGAATCCCTAGAGAATGGAGTTCAGAATTGTTAGATCTAAAGCTTCGCAGCACCTGGAACCTGGCAATACTTCAGACTTCTCCACTCTGGGAAGTCCTACTGGATTAACCCAGATGGGGCCAGGGACGTGCACAT